TATAAGCAGCTGGCTACTGTTCGAAGACAAATTGTGAACACGTCCTTTAAGTGAAATGCTTGAGCGCGGTACTTCCAGTTGTTGATGACATTCCACTCTTGCTCCTTTTGAATGCGCTCGTTGCCAAATGAATGTGATGTTGATCAGTAGCAGGTTTACAGGGAAGAAGGAAAGAGGAAGAGGTACTTTCAATATTTTGTTTCTTAGTCACTGTAAACTCAGAGCTTTTCAAACAACATGAATGCTTCCCTGTGGTATCCAGCGAGCCGAATGAGTCTTGTTGAGATATTTGGATAGATTGCTGGAGGGCCAGGGTGTGACTGCTGGTATCGGGCCTGGAAGGAAACCAGTGCAATGACTCTCGGGGTTGTGTTTAAAAAAGGAAAAAGTCGACAATTTATATTAGCCTTTATTTATCCAGGGAAGGATAAATGAAGGCTGCCTGCTCATGTTCCATCAACACTCCGGTTTCACATGCGGTAGCTGCCTTACTGCACACAGTGGGTGATTAGGCGTCTTGCTCAAGGGCACCTTTACAACATTTTTTTGTGCGGGTGAGGAATTTTCTTTTTTTTTTTTTTACTTTTTTGGTCTGGAAATTTACACTTCAGATCACAGCCTTACCTCTGGAAACTCATTAGGCCTATTCATCACATATCTGTGGCTAAAGTCAAGGGGCAAGCTTGTGTCACACTCTTGTAAACATTGTTTTCGGTGGGAATTGCTCCAAACTTACCAAACCACATTGGCAAAAGCTCTCAGATTCTGAAAAATAACAAAGATCCTGTCACATGAGATAATTCTAGGTTGACGTCCTACACTGAGGCAGACAAGCTGTCAGTAGCACACAGTCGGTGTGTGAATCATACGAGGCAGATGGGTCTGTGACTGAGGGCGACAAAAAGAGCACACAGACCTGACCAACAGTGTTATCTTTAAGGATCAGAGAGAATAGGAGTGCAGACGTGGACACAAACTCGCCACGCTGTGACTTCACAAACTGAATGTGTGAGTGTGTAGTGGACTGGAATACTACTATCTAAAAATACTGCATTACATGTAGAAGTCCTCCATTCAAATCTCACTTAAGGAAAACGTACAGAAGTATTAACAGCAAAATATATTCAGTTGGAAGTTTTGCATTTACATTATATGTCTACTAAATATAGGCTTATATAATTATATACATAAAATACATGACGTCTAAAGACACATCTATCAGCACAGTAAGGTTACTTGTATTAAGTTATAAGTTCAATTGCTTGAAGATGGTTTAGAAATACTTTTTGCATAGAAAAAAGGTTGGAATATTCTGGCCGCACTGGCAGATATTTCTCTTTAATAAAGAGTTAGATGACTTGATGAGGAGATTTTGTGCAGATTATATGCTTTGTTTGAAAAAAACCTGCAAAATAACTAGAAACTGTAGCTGTCAAGTAAAATATCTGCCTCTGAAAGGTAGTAGAGCAGAGGTATAAAGGAGCAGGAAAATTAAACACTGAGTAGCTTAGCTTACATGTAAGTCTATGTATTCATGCATGTACAGTATGCGAGAGCTACAGCCAATCACTATTGTCAGGTAAAAACATTTTTCACAGGTTTTGACTTTGGCTGAATGATTACTTCACCATAAAAACGCCTTCCATCTTATGAAGTCCCGCTCAAAAGAAACTAGATTACACGCACAATGCATCACAAAGCTATAAATAAACCTGATGGTCCTAGTTCCTAAAACATTTAATGACAACAGCACAACAACAGCCATCAGCTAAGAAAGTATAACGAGCAGACGAGAGCTATTAGGGACATTCTGAGGCATCAGAGGAGAGAAGAGAAGAGCAGAGAAGAGAAGAGAAGAGAAGAGCAGCAGCGTAAAGTATGACAGGAATGAAAAGCTTCTGGTTAACTGTCCCATGGTGAGGAAACAACACAGTTCCCAGGCCACCGTATCACCAGGCCAACAGGAAATGGCTGCGCACAGGGGCCCCAGGTGGCTCACAGTGAAATGAGGCATAAACTATATAAGCTGGATCACAATGCTGAGCGTTCGTAGTGGGCTGATGTAAACCACTTTTTCCTGTCAGCAACAGACCTTTTTCTCAGAGCACATTTCAAATCTCACAGACGGAAAAACAGACGCGTAATTAATAAAGACTCGACGGTGGCCGAATTCCATTTAGCGTCCTCCTGGTATTGTGCACGCTGGCCCCACTGATTGTTAATGTTATTACCGTAGTTACACCTGTGTCGTCCCTATGATGGAAAAAGGCCTGCATCAATAAAGCAGCAGAAAAAACACAGTGTGGTCACAGTGTGGCTTTCTGTACTCGCACCCTCCAAACAGACTAATTCAATGTCAGCTGCCACTATGTTGGCACATAGGTGCCGTTAAAAGTATGCCGAATGAGCTATTAGCCATTCCTGTTTGCGGTTTACCCATGGATATATAGGAAATATTACTGGATTACTTTGATACTGAGGGACACTTAAAAACTTGATGATTCTCAGGGAAGTTCTGGTGTTGCAAGGGGAGTGTCTTTTCTATAATTCCACTATAAAGTAAATAAAATCAGTGTCAAACAAGTGAGTTATGACTCTAAGAACAAGTAGCTTAAGTACCTTAATTGCACCCATGGACTGTGTGGAACTGCTACTGCTGACGGTAAATTACAGTTACTGAAACACCAGCATGGACCTCGCTGATCTTTCAGCACCATCCCAAGAATTAGTAAATTCCCCCGGCAGTAGGCAAGTAAGACATCAGCTTTGACACAAACTTTCCGAAAGTTTTTAAAAAATGTGACACAGATCCAACCTGACGTAAACTGAGGGAAAAGCCAAGATCTGTTTTAAGCTCCCATCACAGTCCTGATATGGCCTCGAAAATCAGTCAGTCATACTCTCCTGCTGTCTTTCTAACCCCCTCTTCAGTTTCCCTCTCGCCTTCTGGCCTCCATTCCCACCTGAGTTTTGTCTGTCTTGTGTTTGCGGCTCGTGTCTGCCTCAGTGAGCCTCCACCTGACAGACAGCAGCAACCTGACAGGGACACACACACCGCTGCAGCTGATGCTTGTTTGTGCAGAGATACGCTGAGGGAAGACCTTCGAAAAGGCTTCAAATATTTACAATAACTTGAGGTGCACTTTGTGTAGAGCTGGATTCCCTTAAATGTCGTGTTTTCACATGAAATTTTCAAGAGGCCAGATCAACTGCTAGGTGGTATTCCATATTTTCACAATGTTGTTTCTCCACATTTTCCACTTCCTATATGTATTATTTACATTCATTGTTTTACGGCATATATACTCTATACCTCCTGGGACAAGACTGTAAAGAATTTACAATAGAAATAGAAGCATGGAGGTAAGGGGGGATGACATGAGTTGGACTGAAACAATCAAATAATTAACCTAATATTTGATCAAAAGAAATCCCCAATTACTCTTATTTATCAAGCACGTAAATTTCCTGCTTCTCAAATATGAGGTTTTGTTGCTTTTCTCGGTTTGATATGATTGTAAATTGAATATCTTTGTGTTCTGGACTTTTAGTCTGACGGAAAATGCCATTTAAAACATCCCATTGGGCTGTGACACACTGCCAGGAACCTCCTGGCTGTTCCTGAGGCAAGCTTAAGGGCTAAAGGGGACAGAGCTTTTTCTGTCAGGGAACCATTACTATGGGATGACCCGCCCGAAAAGACTTTCCAAATCAATATCTTCTTTTAAGTTGTTCCTGAACGCTTACTTTTATTGTCAAGTGCTCTTATAATTGTAGTTTAATCTGGCAAATGTGCATGTGTTTGGATGTATACCAGTATATACGTATGCACTGTAGATGTTGAATGTGTGCTGGTATCTTATTCTGTCTTTTTTTTTACTGAACCGTTTCTTGTTCTGCCTTCTTTACCTTTTTTAACACTTGAACTTGACACCGGTGGCACTGACCTGCCTTTTTACCCTAGACTTAACTCGACAGCAGAATATGCACTTAAACAGAGACGTCTATAGGTTGTGTGTCAAAGGGATTATGAAAACAACACATGAAACTAATGACATTACTTCTGGGACTAAAAATACTTTTCTAAAGGATGAGTCATCCCATCAGCAGCCTGCTGTGGTCGGTTGACAAAAGTGTATATTTGTTAAAGTGTACTCACTGCACACACGCACTTGATTTAGCGTTTTAAGAGAGGATATCGGTTTGGGTGCTTCTGGAGACACTGCGGGCCTATTTCAATTCAGCATCTGCGTGAGGAGCAGACCACATGTTGTCCTCAATCACAAACCCACACGCACATTCAGTACTCTTCAGATGAGGAGGGGGGTGGCTGCTGCTTCCTGTCCAATAACGGTCAAGTAGATCGTAAGTGCCTGATGCCTTCAATTGTAACGTGTGATCCAACAGGAAATCTACTCGTATAAGATCATTTTGCAACACCGTCGGCTCTAACCACACCTACAGATCTGTGTACTTCTATAGCCGCGCTCCTGCTGCTACTTGTGCCAGTGGTGATGTTGTAATGGTAAAAATGTTGACGGTTGAGATATGATGACGTGTGTGTGTGTGTGTGTGTGTGTGCCTGCCATCAGGAATCCACATGCACGGAGATAAGATATATCTGTTATCTATCAAATGTGCAAACACGCACACTCAAGCGCAACAACTGTATGGCCACAGTACTGAACACTCATCTATGTCCAACAGGAAAGACAACTAAATGAGTGAGACAGATGGCAGAGGAGACAGGAACCATTTTATGAGGCAGATATACAGCAGCCTCATCTTTACAGAGCCTTTCCAAAATACTGTTTCCTCACGATCACTGAACAGAGGAAGAAAATGGCTGATCCTGAAATAATTATTGTTATACTTCTGTCATGTTATTTGGGTTTCTTTTTAATGGATTAGAGGTTAAACTTATCTGGATAAGGTGAGTTCTTTTTTTCACATGTATGAGCAAAGAAAGATAAAAAAAAGAAAGATCTAGCTTAGTTATGCATGTTATTTATTGCTGTTGGTAAAGATAACATCAAGGAGCCAAACTTGATTTAATCACAGGCTGCACACTTTGAAAATGTGGACTCAAGGTAAGAAACACTCTTATGTGGGTTACTATAAGGCATCAGTGGAAAACATTATTCTGAGCTTTTTGGGTGCAGTTCATTCTGTTTTATGAAAACGAGAGAGACTTCTTGCAGTGTGTACACATGCATGCAGTTTTGACTTCAGAAAACAGTAAGCTAATGCCTTCTTCTTCTTTTCTGGCTTCACAATCACCTGCATTTGCACGTAAAGTACAAACGAGCACGAACAGACCGCAGTCTTTTTAACAAAACTATACCTGAAATCTGACATTAGAACCAGGGCACCTTGAGCTGGAGACACACACTTTGAATTAAACACGTGGCTGCTGACAGATTGAACGGGTGCAACGAGAATCACACTTTTGTTCCCTCAAAGAGAACGCAGACCGCGTTTACGACATCAAAACAAACATCACTGCTTCATAATCAGTCATTCAGCTTTTGCCAACAGTATTTGAAAATCTAATTTAATCTTCGAGCATCACAATCCAGCTCTGAGTGGGACATATTCTATAGATGGATATTGACTCATTACCACAGAGCTTGCTGCTCAGCTGTCATTATCCATCTTCAACACTTGATTTGACAAACCCGCCTTTGGGCAGTTCTGGCCTATATGTTCTATAAACAGCCAACCTCACTGATGACACACGACAGTCAGTATACGCGTGGACGCAATCTGACCAAGGCTGAGGACAGGAGGAAGTTGTTTCTCACGCTACAATGTGTCTTCAAATGAACAAACACAGACTGAATTCACTACTGTAACGAGAGAACACACGTAGATAATGTATTCACGAGTTAACATCACAGTTTTGAAAAGTACAAGCAACTCGCCCCCATAATTCCTCATTCCTCATCGCTTGCCTTTAAGCACTTTATGAAGCTAATTTCATTTTATGCATGCCGGCCTCACGGGAGAGACGACACTCTTCGGGGTCAGTGAGCGCTGTACATGCTGAACACGTTACAGGGCATTTCATGACGTAACCATTTAAATGAACTGCAGCGTTTTATATATGCTGCACACTCGAACGCAATCAGTGGGTGAAAACAATAGAGGGGTAGTCTGGCCTAGAAAGTTTACCCGAAGCATCGTGGGGATTGACGTGTGCCGACAATGCAACCCAACCACGCGTCCCTATCAATGGCTGCACGTAATGAACAGCGTGCCCTTCAATATGGTCTCACTTAGCTCTGAAAAAGTTAGGGAGGAAGTGAGGCCAACACTGCGATCTCAGCACTTTTCTCATTAATCGATTCTTTACTCGTCTACTCCAAAAGAGACATTTTAGAAACCGCAAGTCGGCAATATGTTCTGCAGCCTGCACCCCTGTTGGAAATCCTCCTAAAATTAAGAAATGCCAAGTGTGCATTATCCTATGCAACCTCTTGTTTTGTCTTTTTCTTTCTTATCTTTTCCTTTCTTCGCAGACATGTGTTGCACCAATAAGCGGTAGGAGCGGCCCGGAGTGTGTTCTTAATCTCTTTATCCCTGCAACTCAGTGCTGCTTACTGTCCAATTCACCACCGCAAGGATCTCTTCAAGCATCTGCCAAAAAGTTAATCACCCTACTCCAATCCCCTCCTGTGCGTTCGCTTCATCGCCGTAATATATCTGTTGTCCATGACAGGCATTGTGTGACTTCTTGACAGTAATTAAGTGCTGACTGTCTCACTGTATCGTTGTGTTATTGGTATTCTCTTAAGCCTGTATTGCAGCGTCACATGGCTCTACACACAGGGTCACACCTGAGATTCAAGGCTTGTCATTATAAAAACAATGTTCGAATTCCTCTCTCACCTGACAGTAAGTCAAACCTACTGCTGTGTACCTCCTACTGTGATACACCAGGGTGCTGTATAGTGAAAACACCACATCAGTAATGCTTGTTTAGCATCTGGCTGGTAAAACTGACACGGCCTCATGTGTAAATAGCACGTTATGGGTCAAGAAAGTGAACAACAAGTTTTAATTTTGCCTGAACAGGAAGTTAAAACGAAACCACATGTCCACTCTGTTGGGGCAGAGGTTCATCATAGTGTTATTACTGCTGTCTAAATGTTAGTTCATAACGTTATTTCATCACAGCACTGCAGTTTTCACACAGCACAAGTAATACACAGTCACTTCAAGTGTGTTTGTGGTAAACAGGGAGTAATAAAGCAACGTTAAACCCCGCTGTGTAGCATTTTTTTTTTTTTTTTAAATTAAAAAAAAAAAAATAAAAATAAAAACAGTGCACAGCAGCAGCGTCGTTACAATGTATCTTAACTGAGAGAAACCCCAGTCACCATCACAGAAATCACCACCACCATCTCGACTGAGCCCACATTACAGGCTCCGAAAGCGGGGGAGGCTTAAGCTTCACATGCAGCTAACACACACACACTTTTTTTTACCGATCACAACCAAGTAATTCCCGCGGCTGCAACGTTTTCGGGTCCAAATAAGGAGGAAGGGGGGGGTGAGAAAAAACAAAACAAGGGACGTTTTTACTTACCGAGAAAACGTCAACGTCCGTGGCAGCCATGGTGCGGAATGTATGGTGTTGCTGTGCTGGGGCAGACTGAGCAGAGGCGAAAGGGAGCAGCCCTCGTCTCTCCGTACTAGCCTGCTAAACTACCGAGCCGAGCCGAGCTGTGACAGAGATAGGAAGAGAGGGACACAAGACGGAGAGGAGCTAGCGTTAGTTCACTGGGCAAGGGAAGGGTGCTAGCTGGGCGACAAGAGCGTTCACTCCTGCTCCGCTACTGTTTCGTCGCTCAGTCAGGCTAAGCTTTTGGGGATACTCCTGTTAAGCGCATGCGTACTACTACGGTTATACATTTAATTAAAACACTTTTTCTAAAATTTAACGTACGTATCAATTTATTATTATCAAGAAAGCTTGCCAAAGATATATCAGTATATTCCGAGGTCGGAGTAGCAACGACGCCGCTCCAGGCAACGTAATGGTTAACGTTTTCTACGTGTCGTTTAAAGTGGGACGTGAACTATCTTGACGTCCAGGTTGCATCTTTGGGTCGGGACAGATACGTTCCAATATGGCCACTTCTCGGGAACTCCCATTCAGACCAGGAATGTCATGCTGCACACATTGCAAGTCAGGACAAGAGTGAGCAGCAGCACAGAGCGACAGAGAGGAGTAGGAGGGGGGAAGGCAGAAATATGTATGTCAGCGGCGGAGATAGTGACAAATACCTGCTCATCGCCTCAGCCAACCGTGGATGTCTCTTTCCAAATGGGACATTAATATTTAAATGAATTAATGAGGGCACGGATTGATTTTACTAGGATGTAACTCAGCCAATCAGAGCAAGCCATCTGATGATGTTGCAATATTGTGTCTGATTTACTCCAACCAGTGAAACCAGTGTGTGTGTGTGTGGCTTTGATGCCCTGGGGACTGGTACTTTTTGCAGTTTTATGCTTGCATCCAGTTTACATGAAGCATTTATAAACTTTGTGTGTGTGTGTGTGTCTTCAACCTAATACTGGATTTTGAAGGTCATATTGATATCTTAGAGTTTGGTGGTTCATGATCGGTTTGTAAAAACGTTTTGTACAATCCTTTCATATAAAGGAATTAAAGTTTGTAGTTAATTCATGCTTACACAGACACAGAAAAAGATAATCGAATTAACAGAAAAATATAAAATAGAATACAATAAATAACATTAAAATAACATTATATTAATTGTGGTCATAATATAATTGGAGCAGGACATTTTAAACACATTTTGCATGTCTTTGTGTGTGTGTGTGTGTGTCTTATTCCAAAATGATATCTTATTATATCTGATTGGTTTTCTCTCAATGGATAAGAGTTATGGTTTTTATTCTTTAAAAACAACAACAAAAAACCACCCAGAATTTACTACTTTTTTTTTTTTTTTTTTTTACTTTTATTCTAAAAATAAACAAATTGTGGCCTTATTTGTTTTCAGGTGAAAAGTCCTAGCCACTTTGCCTATAGGGCATTAATCTGCATATATTATTCAAATTGCATCCACGTCTGCGCTCTCCCCGGAAAGAGACTCCTCCAGGTGGGGAGGAGAGAAGAGAGCGGCCAGGTGAAGGCAAGTGTACCGTCACCAGGACAAAGGTGTAACTGGATACAGCCGGGCTGTTAGACTTACAAGTTTTAACTTTAATCCGCGTACGGTTTTAGCTATGTCTTTGACCCAGGAATCCCTCCTGTTCCTGCTGATAGCAGAGGGGGGCAAAGTGAAGAAATCCGACTTAGTGGGTAAGTTCAAGGGTTCAATAGACTGCAGCGATCCCGCACAGAAAGAACGGAACAGGGAGCTTTTCAAGACTTTTGTCAACAACGTCGCCTTTGTTAAAGAAATCGACGGTGTCCGGTACGTTGTCGTCAAGAAAGTGTATCAGCATTTGCTGGACGGGGTCCACCCTGCGGAAAAGACCGATAATAAAGAGATCCCACTGACAGGTGAGCAGCAGCGCCCACCTGCGCGGAGCCAGGAGACTGACAATGCAGGAGGGGAGAGATCAGCTGTTTCTGAGCCTGATCGAGAGCAGGCAAGCAGTGAAAGCAGTGACAACCCTGCAGAGTCACTTTCCCTCATACAGCTGGCACTGCAAAGGAGCAAATCTATGGATGTGAAAGTTAAAAGAATGCTGAATTTTGAGATCCAAAGGGAGGACACGCAGGGGGATGCCTGCTCAAGAAGGGGCGCAGTAAATGAACCAAAGAGCAAACCTTACGCCTTACCTCTGAGAGTGCCGCCCAGCACCACCAAAGTGGAGACCCGCAAACTTAAAGGGGACCCACATGACCTCCCTGGAAGCCCCAAACCAGACTGCTTCAGGAACAAGAGAAGCAGCAGCATCAGCTCCCCCCAACTGGGGAGGGCGGTGAAGAGCACCAAGGCGACAGAGGAGCCCAAAGAGATGAGGGGGCCCTCCCTGGTTCCCCTGGAGCAGTCGGAGCATGAATGGCTGGTCAAGTGTGCCGCCGGCAAGTGGAGCCAGGTTTACGGCCTGCTGCTGAGAGACAACCAGCTGGCTCAGAAGAGGGACTTCATGTCGGGGTTCACCGCCCTGCACTGGGCAGCCAAATGCGGACACAGCGAGATGCTCGTGAATATCGTCAACCTGTCCAAGCAAGGAGGGGTTGACATTGACATTAATGCAAAAACGCACGGCGGATACACTCCTTTGCACATCGCCGCCCTGCACAACCAGGAGTACATCATGGCCATGCTGGTGGGGGAGTACAAGGCCGATCCGAGCATCAGGGACAACTGCGGGAAAAGGGCCTACCACTATCTGCACAAAGGCACTTCTGGGATGTTGAGAGAGATGCTGGGTGAACCCAAAGCCCAGCCGGTTCAGGAAAGGGCCCAGGAGAGGGCCCTGCATGAGAAAGAAGAGCTGGACCTGCTACCGGATCTCTCCAAGAGCCTGCATTCGATAAGCCGTCTCTTCCAGCCCCACGTGACGGGCCCCAAGAAGAAGCACAAGCAGAGACCAGGTTTTTACTCGGCGAGCAACAACCCCAGCGAGGAACAGGAGGAGAACAACAGCAGCAGCAGCAGCAGACCCAGACTGGCATCAGATGTTTTTAACTAAACTCAGAACTCTCCTGGTTTCATGTTGTCTGACATTAATATTTGGCAGATGACATAAAAGATGGAATTCTTATCTGATGTGATATGCATAGTTTGGTTGTGTGGGGTCAAAGGTGATTAATTGATTCTGAGATAGAGACGGAGCGTTTCAGATGTTTACAGGTGTGAATAAAACATGATTCAGAAGATTTTCCTGGCGGGTCTTGTGACTCGTCCTGTTACTCACTGTCTGTGGCTTCATCAGTCTGTCTCTCTGCAGTTCACCTTCAGGGGAACTCGACACTGAGCTTAACAATATTACTGAAACATTGTTTATTTTATGCTGATGATTTAAATGTATGTTTAATCACTGGTTTGTTATGAATTCATGTTTTTTATTTGCCATTAGCATTTCAGTTTAAAACAAATCTGCACCTAGCACTTAAACCAGTACAGTAGCTGCACAAATGTCATACATTCCCATTAACTGTGATTTTAAATGAACTGTAACATAAGGAATAAATCAGACTATACACTACTTGTTTTTACAATGTTTGCATGCACACACCAAAAACTTGATTTCTAAATGTCTGTTCTCTTTTAAAAATGTTCCTTTTAAATCTCTTTTAGTCAAAATGAATCAATACTAACAGTAAATCAATGCCTGCTATTGATTTACTGTTACTCTCACCGGTACTAAGATTTGACTTGTGTTCCTCTGTGTTTTTGTTTTTTTTTACCTCTGAGTAAGACGTGAAGTGGTCATCCTCTCGATTTCCAGGGGCAGACAAACTAAAAACTGAGGATGTGCTTGCCGACTTACGGGTGAATTAAACTTAAATAAATAAAACCAAAAAATTGGAGAAGTGTTTCTGCCTCCGAGGAGGATTTAGAGAACTTGCCTCTTCATCATCGCTCCACTTTGTAAGAGATTAATTATTAAACACTGTGAAGCATTTAGGAGAAGCAAATATCCCACTAAAATGCCCTGGAAGAAAACAAACAGTGGATTTCACTCACTTACAATTATTAGAAAAGACAAAGGGTGTGTCATTCACGAAGGAGTGTGCAGGTGCTCTATAAATCATTACAATCCCTCTGCGTGCCAAAACCTCTCTGAAGTGTGGCTCCGGTCCATCTTCTGGCTTGTTGAGACAGCTGTGCTTCAGCCAGATACGCAGTTGACTAGGAATGTCTGTGCTTGCATGTGTGTGTCTGAATGTAGTGTGTTAATGGCATCACCGGCCCCCGGCGACCTGAAGACAAGAAGCAGCAAAAGAACTGACTTTGCTGCCTTGTTTCCTGTCCGTCCTGGTTCATTATCCTCAACAGATGTTAAAAGAGTAGAATAAGAGTATAGTTGTGATTATTTCAAGATGAAATGTACAGTTGCTACTTGTTTGAGAGGTAAAAGAATCATAGATAAAAGAGGAAGAAGTGTTAAGAAATGTCTCATTCTCAACTGTCCCCCGCCCCGAGTTATCGCCCTCTGTCTCATGGTGTCACTTCCCCAGCAGCCTCCATTATCTTTACGTCAACGATGACGATGTTTCATTTCAGAGCCTCTGGGTTTTATTTAGCAAATGTTCTTTTCTGCTGCTGCTGTGAGGGGAAAGGCTACCACAAGGTCAGGAACAAGATAAACAAAAGCACTCACTTTAGATAAAAAAGAAACTGCAAGAGCATAATGTTGAATTTTTGTTATTAAAGGAAACTGCTTGTTTGAAAAATGGAAGTGGGAGTGGTACACTTAAGTGCTAATAGTAGAGATATTTGTTTTGAAATCGGTCCATTTATTAGTTTTGGTGCAATTTAATCATTACAGTACTTGATAATTAGCCTCTTTGAGTTAGAACTGGCAATGAAGGCTAACCAAACAACATTTTTTTCTCAGTACCACAATAATATGCAGTATCAGACAAATGGAAGTGTAAAAGAATAGTTCCTTTATTCACTTTCTTGCCAATAGTTAAATTAGAAGATCAATACCACTCTGATGTCTGCGCATTAAGTATGGAGCTGGACCCGGGGGCAGTTAGCCTAGCTTAGCTTAAAGACTGGAAGTGAAGGGAAACAGCTAGCATAGCTCCCAGCACCTCTACAACCAACCAGAACCTAGAAGCCAGGCAACTAGCAGGCTTTGTTACCATTGGACAGTGCCCTTTATTTGAAGCCCTTTTGCTAGGTCCTACAGACATGAGAGTCGTATCAATCTTCATATCTAACTCTCAGCAAGAAAGCAAATATGGGTATTTCCCATGTCGAAATATCCGCTTCACATCTGCAAATGTTGAAAAGCATTTGATTGAACTTGCCTTCTCCTCTTACTCAAGTATTGGACACAATCCAGTATAAATCTGTCATCTCTCACATTTGTGAAGTAAAATCGCAGCACAAATTAGGCCCGCCTGCCATGAGAGGTCCAAATTTATGTGGGTTTACACACATTTTACTTGTAATTATAACTTTTATGATTTCTTCTGATGACCTGTCATAAAATTGGAAGCAGTAGAGAAATATAATGAGGAGGGCCTGGAAAAGCATTTTAATCGTAAACTCGTGTGTGTCAGGTAGTTATGAACAGGGCTTAAGTTAGCCTAATTAGAGTGGTGCTCCAACAGAAACATCTACTGTAAAAAATGGCACTATAAATCATGACGACATAAATAGAGCTTTACCATGAGTGTTTTGGCTCGAGAACAAGGCTTTGTTAGAGTCGTCATAACTGAGCTGTGTAATGACTGCCAGAGGTTAGGGGAGGAAACCGTAAGGTGTGCTGGCATTCCTGTGGGCGGAGAGTTCAGAGTTCAGGTTGAAAAGTGAAGCTTTGAAGCCACAAATCTGAGCACCTGGCCCAGTAATCGCTGAGTCATCGATATGTGGAGAATGTATATTATGGTCAATTTAACAGCTATTTGGTGACACGAAGAAATTTCACTTAATGCCCCTCCGTTGTGTAGATGTTGCTTCCCAACTGGAGCTTATTTCATCCACCATTTTCTGTTTTCCCTGAGACAGAAGGACACAGTCAGTGATTATCAACAGCAAAGTTCCTCATTACCCAGAGGTGAGACAGAACTGCTGCTGCAGTGTTCAGGCCATCCTGTTCCCTCCTGTTTGTTGTCTGCAGCATACACCACCAAATGCTCCTTTACTTACACTCGTCTTTGTAATGACGCTAAACCTAATTACCATGCAATTAGTGTCTGACAAAGATCTTACTTGTTAAGAATTCCCTGAGTTGTGCTTTATGTGCCTGCTTTCTGTGTGTTTTTTTTAACTTTCTGAAGTACACTAAGTGCTGTGTGGTGTCTCTCACTGTCCTCCTGGGCTTTCCTCTGCTGCTTGCCAACATGAAATCTTTTTTTTTTCTTTCTCAGTATATCTATGCCTTTTAATAAGCATTTGTTGTTGCTGACAAACAAACTGGACGGCATTCCACTGCAAGGCTGAACAAACGTGGGTAGAGGAGCATGAAAGAGACAAGAGAGGAGGAAGACACCCTGCAGAAAATAATACATCATTTACTCCCGATTAAATCTCTAGGCTCCGTCCGAAAGTAACAAAATCCAGCTAATTAAAGCTTGCTAATTAACACTTATTTAGTTTGTTTAATATGTACAAATGCTAGGTGTAACAACGACAAATTGTGTGCAAAACAATTTCTTGGCTGGGCGGCAGTGACTTCCTGGAGCCCTGTCGTAAGTGATGTTGCCCAGCAACCAACTGAGTCTCCAAAAGATAGTCTACAATCTCTTGTAAAACCACAATGCAGATTAAACTAACAAGATATAAAGTGTTAAATATAGAGCTTTAGAGAGGCAAGTAGGGAGATTTTGTTACCTTTGGACAAAGCCAAAGACTTTTTTGCTAAGCTAACTGCCTCCTGATTTCAGCTTCATATTTAAAGGTCCAGTGTATAACATTTAGTAGGATCCATTGGCAGAAAGTAAATATAATATTAATACGTATGTTTTCATTAGTGTATAATCACCTGAATATAGGAATTCTCTTGTGTTTTAATTACTTTAGAATGAGCTGTTTACCTACAGACACTGGGGGTCACCTTCCATGGAGTTCGCCATGTTGTTTCTAAAGTAGCCCAGAACGGACAAACAAAACACTGGCTGTAGATGAGGTTTTTCCTGTTTTTCATGGCCACTGTAGGTTATCATACACACTTCACAGCCCATTCTCATTCCCAGGTGGTCAAATACAGACACGCAATCTGTATTTTCATTGCAAGATGCCAATAAATCCTGCACACTGGGTCCTAAGCTCACACATATCTTAGGATAAAAAACACCAGAAAATCTTAAAAAAAAAAAAAAAAAATTCCATCTTAAAAGGAAGGATCAGCATCCCTGTACAACTTTCTTTAAAACAATTCTCAGAAAATGATAAAGCTTCCATACAATGTTGAAACAGAAAATTCCAGCTCAGTGACAGTGAATTATTGAACTATCAGAAGCAGTGTGCTGATTTGCCTGCAGAGGGCAGAGACGATCTCTGACAGGAACAACCAATCCTGGAGAGCTTCCACTAGTGAGGAAACTTTATCAGGGTTAAGACAAAATAAGCAAGTTTATAAGAAATAATGTCACAAAATATCCAGTGTTACCTGTTCTCCCAGCGTGGATATTGCAAAACATAAATCACTCTTTCCATAAATACTTAATGTAGGCCATATTTGTAGTTCTGTGTATATTATCTTGCATTTGACGTGATGCCTGTGTACCATTTGTTTGTTGCTGTTCGGGTTGGATATATGTGTCTGCATCAGGTAACTGCTGCTGGTTAATGAAGTGTCTCGTTTTGACTTTAGATTCACTTCTTTGGGGGGAAAAAAAAGGAGAAATGTGGTTCACTGGAAGGAGAGGGAGAGCTTAATTTATTCACAATATTACAAACATCATGGAATTTACAACTCCAAACAGGCACAAAAAACAACTCAGACTCTCAATGGAAAACAAGTGTGAAATATAGCAGAAAGAGTGGATTTAGAAATGTCTTTGCTGTCATTCCTCCAGCTGGGACTGAAATATGTCTTTCCTTCTTGGCTTTAAAACAGATTCTGTTCGTCACACGCCTCCAGTAGGTGAAACAAAATCCCCAACTAAACAAATACAATCCTACTTCAAAAACAGGCCCCACTTTTTTCCTGCAACCTCAACAAATACACTGCTTTGACTGAATGACAGCAACAAGAAATGACTCAGGAAGTTGCAAAATGTTAGTACGCATACATAGCAAGAGCTAAAATGAGTATTTATCCATGTGCTGCTCCTCTGTGAGAGCGTTTTCCACAATCCTCCGGCACCCCCGCCCCCCAATCCCAGTCTTTCTTTCTCCATAATGTTGGTCTTTTGCATTCTTTAGGAATTCCAGCAGGCTGCAGGGAACAACATGAGATTCCTTCTAACCCTTCAGCCCTGTGTCAGCACAAAGGCCAAAACAAACATACATTTGTTTAGCAAACTGAAACGGGCAGTCGTAAATCTCCAGAGAAATGCTTTAGGGGTGGCGGCAGAGGTGGTGTTTAGCGGAAAACATGAAATATCTTTCAGCATGGAAGGGTTTCCAGTTTCTGAGAAAAACACACTTTAAGTTGTTTACTTGTCCACTTTTTTTTGACAATTTCAGTAAGTGAATAAATGTTTTTTTTCGCGTGTAGAGGTTGCTGCCTCTTTGTGGTCACTATAACATAAATATCATATACACAGTCTAACAGTTAACCCATACACTGGATCAGTTTTTTTTCTCAGTACAGCCAACAGGTAGAATTTCCTGAGGGACGATAACATTTTGATCACTTTATGACTTTGTAGGAGTTTTGTTGAAAACGTACACAGCAAACACCGAGAGGCGTTCTGTCTTTCTGTTCAACAACTAATCTCTACACATACACACACACACACACACACACATAATTAAGACATTCATGATATCAGGCATACACACACTCACATACTGACGTAGAGCGACTGCTCACATCACTCTTAAAAAAAACTCTCCGATGCGTCAGGTTGAAGATTCAGTAAAAGAAATAATACAACTATTAAAAACTAATGACAAATATTAATGCAGAAACATATGCAGTTTTTTTTAAATGTGAAATTGTTTACAAAAATTTGAGGGAAAAGTAATTTGATTCAAGCGTGAGTTTTCATTCAGGGCTATCAAGAAGAGCTACATGTGTCTAAAAGTGGCTACGCTGTGGAGGTAGAGAACAGAAAATTAGTTTAAGACACCTGAAGTGAAGATTGTGGACTTTCCTCTTTAAGAAAAAAAAAAAGTATTTCAAGTATCACGTGTCACTTCTGCGACAAAGGAACATTGGGAGAAAATATTCAGTGATATAATTGCTTACTTATAATCTGCTTTAAAGAGGTTTAGCACCTCCGTATGAGGAACCGTTCCAGCATGAAACCATCAAGACTTAATGACATTAAGAATGAAATTAGCAGGAAAAAGTATTTGTACACAATCCTTAATGTTGCTGGGTGTGCACCGTGTACCTTGTGAAAAACATTATTTCAACATTCCTATTTAAAACGAATGACGGAGCGAACAAAAGAAGTAAAATAGAAATGTCGTTTAAGTGGATGGAGTAAGGCTTTTCACTTGAGATTATTTTGAAAACAAATCTAATTTGAAGAAATGTGCATTTATGTATCATTACAAAGTGCTTTTTTTTCATTCACCCTTTTTGGTTTTTAGTGCCTTAATTTGAAACATTTAAAAATAAAAACATAAAAAAAAAAAAAGATTAAATCTACGACATCTATTATACATATGACTCACATGATACAGGCTACTCTCTTTCACCGAAGCCTTCTCGCTGGTCAAAATACAATCTTAAAGCTTATAATAGGTTTCCACAGGTGCAGATACAGGGCTGTAGCACTAACAACTTCTTAAAGAAAAAGTGAAGGACAGCTGCTGAATTGCTAACAGGGGGGACGTAAAGTTTCCACCAAGCAGCTCTAATGGAAAAACATTCCACAGCAACACCAATATCAAGGCACACAGAAAAACAGTTCAGTCCTCTGTTCAAAGTCAACGGACACATGTACAAAGTCTTCGGATGTACACTGCAGATTGTGCAGACTGACAACGGGCGACGCCGGTGGGTGAGCATCCTGGCCATCCTCTGTGGTTGACAGAAAGGCCAGGAGCTTCAGTCTCAGCAGTCTCTATTGCTCATCTCATGTACAGCCTATAGTTATGAGAGCAGAGAAGATGGCATGACAGCTTCCCCAGTAGCCTTGTCAAACTCAAAAGTCATGTCAGGGTGCAAAGGGTTGGAGATATCAGCTGAACCGCTCATAATCCACGCCTCGTGTGTCTGTGTGGCGAGCGGGGGCCGGAAACATACAGCCAAAACTCCCTACACGTCTTTTTGAACATCCTCCTTTAAGGCAAGTCGAGGAAGAAAAGTAGTTGCTCCTCCCTTCAAAGATTCAGGCTGTTGGAGAGGGCCTCCAGCTGCTCCTCTCCCAGCCTCTGCTTCTCCTCCAGGTCCTTCTGCCGGATGAGCAGCGAGGCCTTGGTCTGGACGAAGCGCTGGTAGTCCTGCAGCTGCTCGGCGGACAGCTGGCGCGACAGGAAGGTGGAGACCAGGTTCTCTCTGCGGTCCAGGTTATCCTTCAGATCTTTGGCGTCTTCCCTCTGTTTGCACAGCAGACGGTGGCGACTGTCCAAAGATTGCTGTGGGCAGAGACAAAGGGTAAAAAAAAATAAAAAATAAAGATAAATTATACCTGATATCCTTAAAAGGATACATTTCTTACATGATATTGCTGGGACCAAAATAATCAGGTCTGTTACTGAAATTTAAACCATATTCTGGTGTTGAATTCATGCCTTGCAGAGCATTAGAGGCATGTTTTTAATTAAAATGATTAAGTAAATATACTGCTGTACGCATGCTCATACAAATATAGAATTTGGAAAGACTGCTGATAGAAAAGCTGAAAATGAATCACATTAAAAAGCTCAAAAGTCATATTTTGGGTTATATTTTTTGTCTTAGGAAAGGTAATAGTTCATTGGTGTAATAGAAAGCTGTGAAAGTTGTATGATCATGTTTCAGAGGACAGGAGGTGCAGTGTTTCCTTGTGTCAACAGAGGGCAGGGTAGATACAAATGTCACCGAAACCCGGGGCTGGAGTTTCGGTGAGTCAGTGTAAATACCAGTGTTGCTGATAACAGCAAGAAAACAAATGAGCCTCTAACAAGCCCTCAGTATGCAGCACGTTCAGCCAGGCTTTTGCAGATGGACAAACTAACAAGGAGCCCTTTCAGGGATAAATCGAGAAATCTAATGCATCCATGCAAACATAAATTGAATGCTGAAAATACCAGGACGCATAATGAAACAGGATATTCAGAGGGAACACAAAGCAAAGCACAGAGCTCAATTCAGATCCTGTGACACAACTCATGATAATATGTGAGACCAAATTCATGAGTCTATTTGAAATAAAGGGCTAAATTACTGACAGTGGGCGTATTTTAATGTATCTACTTCAGATACAGCATGATGACATTCTTACTTTTCAGTATATCAAACTGCACTATATCAAAAAATAATCTTTAAATGCCTGTTAAAGCATTTTGCTCAAACACAGATAAGGTAAAAATGGGCAATTAAACACAGATAAACAACATTTTTGGAATTCCACACAGTGAGAAACCTTGACTCCATTAAAGTCGCCCTTCAACTTCAAGTGGCATGTTTGCCGTTCTAAAGTAAACAGAACGAGAGTATAGCTGAAGGCACGGGAGCCGGCAACACTCATGGTAGTCTTTTTGCCATAAGCTGCAGTGAATCATGACATCTGTAAGGCTACATGACAAACATTACTCACATGTATTAGTGTGTTTGTGTAAACAACTTCAGGGGGTAAAGACAGGAGAGTAAATGGGGTCGTAAAGCACAGATCATATGACGGTGCATTAAAGTACCTCTGTGAATTTTTATCATGTCTAATTTAACTGATTCAGTTAAACTTTAACCCCAGAAATCATTCAGCGTATGCCTGGGATTCATTCACATATTAGTGCTTTCTACTGAGAAGAAAACAGATTCATAGTTTAACGTTTTGGCTCGGCGCTTTTAATTACTTGTGTATCGTGAGAGATGAGAGTAATTACAGCACTCCAAAATCCAAAGACAAACAAAAGGCAAAAATGGATGTTCTGCTAAATAGTGTGTTAATTTGGTTATTTCTTGCATTAGAGGGTCACTGAAAGCACCAACAAGGAGAGTTTTCAAAAAAATCCCTGGCAGCAAGCGTTCAACCATCAGACTATTAGGCAACATTGAAAAGAAAAAAAAAAAGCAATAAACTCTTAAATGCAAATAATTGCTCATCCATGCTGTTTTTTTAATCAAAATCCTAATGGGTGAACCCACTGATCCTTGAAGGAAGGAAGGAAGGATGCAAGGAAGGAAAAATGAAAGAAAGAAAGATGTTGGCTCCTCACCTTCTCCTCAGCATCTGTGTGTTGGTCCACAGTGCTCAGGGCGTTCTGTACCCTGGCCAGCCGGGCAGAGAGGCACAGCAGCAGGCTGACCACCCTCTCCAAATCTCCTATGAACAAGTTGTATCTCTCCAGCTCCACGGGCTGACAGCGCTCACGGACCAGTACCTCCAGGGTCTTCCCGTGAGCCACGTTCTCCTGTATCTCTGTCTGGAGGGCGCCGCGCATCTCTTCCAGCGAATGCAGACGCGTCTCGATTGAAGACACCAACAGACGCTGTTGATTTAAGCGGACAAGGTAATGTGTGAGAGATTTTAGGCAATGATGCCACAGAAGAGATACTCTCTGTCAACTGAAAAAAAATGTGGGGGAAAATTTGCAGGTGAACCAATCTAATATTTATTTCATATTTGCTGCCATAGGATCATTGATAAAGGCACACTGTATCAATAGTGAATGTGAAAGGCCGTCAGGAAGAGGGGGAGGCTATAGTATGTGCTAAGCCAAACATTAGGCAAGTGGGAGACACTGATAAGAGGTAGACAGTACATCATGTGATAAGACTATCTCAGTCTGAAAGGAGTCCACTTAAGGCTAAACAGCAGCGAGATGGTACCAATATGAAATCACCACAGAGTCTCTGTTTTAAAAAGAAAAACAGAATGAGACCACAGTTCAAAGTCCTGTTTGTTTTGCTGTCCTGTCTGGTTTCTTGTCATTTTTAATGTACACGCAACAACAATGTGACGAGTTACACACTCTATATTGTCAGTGACATATCACTTCCACTTCTCTGTAGGGCTGCAAATAATTATTATTTTCATAACCAAATGATCTGTCAATTGTTTTTTCTGATTAATCGATTTGTCGTTTAGTTCCTAAAATGTCGGAACACGGTGAAGTAAAGTTGAGCACTGTTTCCCAAAGCCCAAAGTAATATCCTCAAATGTCTTAAATTAATTCATAATTTTAAAAGCTGAAATCTTCGAATTTGGCATTTTCTGTCTTAAAAATTACTCAAAAGATTAACCAATTATCAAAATAGTTGTTATCTAATCTATCTAATTTTATATTTGAACAACAAATTGATTAACTGACTGCAGCTCTACTCCTCTATAATCTACTTTTGCATTAATTAATAATTACCTTCTTCTCAGCGACGTCGGCTTTGCTCTGCAGGTCTGTGCACTGAGGTTTAAGGCTGTCAGGAGCACAGGGACAAAGTGATGGTTCAGCCCCTTCGACCGCTTCAGCGCTAGAAAAAGAAACGTGTATAGGTCAGGCTAGCTTTCTTGCATCATGCTGACGCAGCCGATGATTCCTGTCACGTATACCGTCTTCACACGAAGAATACTCCGAGCGCGGTGCCACTGTTATACACATATTACAAAACTCTGAAATACCACTGCACGCTCTCTTTATGTATCTTAAGTGTGCTTACTCTAGCAGGAATCTGAGTGCACGTACAGCAGTAAGCAGAAAGCCAGGTGTGTCAGCGCACGTGATGCAACAAAAGGTAACACAGCACTGGTGGAGCTCAGTTTTTTTGGGCCATTAGAAACCAGTATCAAGTTTCGTAGAGAAACACGAAACTAGGAATCCTAATTAACTTGGCCTCGTCTGCACTCTAACCACTATGTCAACTCTAAAATTGTTTTAAATGTGTGAGTGAGATGGATTATTCTTTCCATTTACACAGCTGTGTACAGACAAGATAAAGGGCTATGTAGTGAATGATGGGGAATTTATCTTCCATTTTTATGCCAATTTCTATTATTTTATACTCATCTTCTCTGAAGCAGTCATATTAATCATTTCAGAATAAGTCTTCTTAGGAGTGGGTTGTCTTCTCTAACTCAGGCAGTAAAATGCCCTCAATAGGCCAGTAAAATGTCCATTATAGGTTAGAGGAAACTAGTGGGAGATTATTTATGGCTGCCAGAGAAGGGTTTAACCTTTAAGTTTCATGTTCAAGGGAATTAACATTTACCTTTCTGCAGCTCCTTTCTGCTCTTGTTTCTTCTTGTAGTGCTCCTCCATCAGCAGCGTGTCCTCTGACAGCAGCTGCTCCATCAGCATCAGTGCCGTCTTACGATTAGCCAGTGGGTAAAGCACTCTGGCCAGTGACTGGTCGGCCTTGACCACTGCTTCTACGAGCTCCTCCCACTGAGGTCTCGCCGCAGGTCCCTCCGAGCTCTCCGTCTCTCCCTCTGGTGTTCCCCTCTCCTCCATCTCCTGGTTTTCTCCAGGCTTCTCATCTTCCGTTTCTGGATGTTTCTCCTCTTCCACCTGCTGACTGATGTCTGTGTCAGAGACGGAGGTGCAGGGAGACACAGAGGGTTCACTTGTCTGCGTTTGAGGGGCCGAGCTGGTGGACTCGTCGTCAAAAACGTTGTCTGTCAGCGGTGAGGTCTGGACTTCCTCTTTGATCTCTTCTTCTGGAGGGAGAATCCACAGTGATGGATCAGTGGTGACGCCGCAGCTCAGAGACACTTCATGGATTGAATCAGGAGGTACGGCATCATTGCTTGGTTCGTCCACCGACTGCTCTCTCTCTGATCCACTCACAGGAGGAGGACTCCTGACTTTACTGGAAGTTAAAGAAAAATAGGATTAAGAATCATCGTATTTGCAGAATTGTACCTGTTAAGAGTTTGTTTTAGTATCGTTAGGTGCCTGAGGGGTGATATATTCAAATAATGACAATAGAATGAATGTCAGGAAGTCGAGGCAGAAAGTGGGTCAATTGCAGCATTGGTCTAATCTTACCTGAAGCCAGGCCTGTCACAAGGAAGCTTTGTCTGGGTGGGGGTGGACGAGGTGGATTTGATCTCCCTCTCACTGGTCTCTAGACCTTCGGGAGAAGGTGGGTTAGATGTGGTCTCACTAGGCGGTCTGCTGGACCTGACCTCATCTGTAACAGGGCCGTGAGATCCAGAGTGAACCCTGGCCCGGCAGGAGGAGGAGGAGGCTGGGGAGGTGGATCTACTTGAGTTCCTTGTTCCTACTGTGACATCCTCTGCTGGTTCTGAGTTCTGCTTCAACAAAGACTTCTTATAGGTCTGGTTTTGTGTCTGTCCCTGAGTGTTCTTCTGGCCAACAATCTCTGGTTCTTGTCCCGCTTGCTGTATTACATATTGTTTCTTCCTCCCTCTGTCCTGCCCCTGGGTTTCTCTGACTTCGGCAAGGAATAAAACACTCCTCTGGTCTCTGTCTGGTTCTCCTGGTCCAGTCGAATACCTCCACAGCTGATCCAGCTGCTCAGAACTTTTACTCAGGACGGACGGTCTTGTTAACTTTGACGTCCCGAGCTCTTCCATGGACTTCCCCCTCTGTGCAACCACACGGACACGCTGCTGACCCTCAGGGGCTGGCTTTAATAAGGAGTCCTCAGTGGCTTTTTTCTGGGGACTGACATTGAAATGCAGTGTTTAAATGTGTAACATAACTCATCGATTCAAACAAACTTACACATAATCCAGAACAGAAAGTTTTGGCCTTCAAATGAAAATAAAAACTATTAAATCAAGACTTTTAACAGTCACATTTATATACATTTATCATATGCAATTTCTTTAAAAGCAAACAGAAATGCTTCATACAAGAGCTCTTGAAAATGTTATTTAAAGACTGGCAGTAACAATTTGATACTCCTACAAACCACAATGTAGGTTTGAGAAATAGGCCAACTCCTTGAAATTGGTTTAGTCAATGATTCTTCTTTTACTTCCATGCATAAATCTTTTAAAAGGAACGCTGGTTTGCTGGAGCAGGTGGGTGTTGACTTTCCAGTGCCACAATGAATCAAGTGGAGAATTATAGTCTGTGCCACAGTGCACACATCACTGACCTAATACTCTCCTGACCTAAAACCAATAAAAATGTCCCAATTTGTCTGCAGTGCTAGTACATACCTCCAGGTTTCCATAGAATTAACTGGTAATGGATCCTTCTCATAGTCATGTGCCTGCAGACCCTGCAGAAGAGCCAAAAGGCAACACAAATTACATTTTAATCAGTATGTAAAATGAGATGAAATATTACAGTAACAGCCAGATGTGGGTTCATTCATATCTTGTTTTCTTTAACTGATTTTTTTCAGACTTGCTAGTTTTACTGTAAAGTTAAGTTCATATACTTGTGATAGAAAGCTCATCATACTTTCACTTTAACTGGTGAAACAAACCCCAGAACTGTGGCATTTAGGATTTCAGGTGAAAATGTTAATGCTACATGTATCCACCAATACATTTTCTCATTAGTAGGAGGACAATTAGTTGGTCAGACAACAACTTATTGTCACAGATATATGTTATATTTTTAAGTATCTCAGTTTGACCTAACTTGCCTCCAATGCTTGTGGTGTGGATGTGGATCTGTTCCTGAAGAAACTAGGTGGTTCTGGCTGGTCCAAGAGACTCTCCACTGAGGCAGACTTCCCCTGAGAAGGACCTTGGCTCTCCCTCCATCTGGGTTGACTTGACTGGCCAGCATACTGTCCTGAACAAGACTGGGCTGAGAAGAACTGGGCATACCTGTTTTGTGAAAGAAAGAAAGAAAAAAAAAAAAGAATATATACAATGTTTGATTTGATCCACACATACACAAAAGTATCAAATTAATTTCTTCCTCTTTGACTTTGCTTCTTTTTCGTACCTGATGGAGCTGGTGGAGGAATCAAGGATGCGGCCTGCAGAGTGTGGTCTGTGGAGTTTCTTCTTGGTGTTTTTGCCTTCGTGATTTCCTGATAGAGGCCTGGGTCCCCAGTCAAATGGTTTCTCCCCCAGAGAATGCCTCTGCCTGGATGCAGGTGGTACCTGAGGCACTGGTTGCTGTGGCTCAGCCACTTTCTGGCCCGTCTTACGCTCCATGTACTCCACCAGGGCCTTGTGTTGCAGATGTTTTAAGTTCGTCTTTGAAGCGCTAGAGGCTGAAAGGGCTCGACCTCTTGTCTCGAACATCTTCCTCCGTGCTGCAACCAGTCCCTGCTCTCCTTGCTGCACGCGTTCCTCTCCCTCGCATTCAACTGCAAACAGGTTGTCACATTCATTGCCAAAGGAGCGGCAAGCGGAGTGAATGGGGGCTCCACCAAGCTGGTGGAGTTTCTCTGGCTCAGAGTAACACATCTTCTTCTGCTCTTGAGTCAATCGCTTCCTGCCTCCAATGCGTGCTACCTGGGGCTGGGCAACATTTGCTGGTCTCCCGTTTTCCTTCTCAGTCTCTTTGTCTATCTCCTTCTGATTCTCTCTGACTTCTTCTTTTATGCTCCCTCTCTCTGTTTCTTCAGATGTTACAGAGGGAGTGAGTGTGTCTGTGGAGGTCTCAGAGTCCTGAGATGAGGAGAAAGTGTGAATCACTGTAGGCCTCAGCTCAGGTTTTTGCCTGATACGGTGTGGCCACGACAGCTGCAGGTCCCTCCTTTTAAATGATGTCTCCCTTAGGACTTTAGACTGAGCATCCTTCAGCTTCTCTTTGTAGTACTTTTTAAATGAGTCATCCAGGGTGTTACAAGCAACGGAGATAACTTCCCCTCTATCATTCTTGCTGGTGTCACTTTTTGGAGGTCTCTCATTATCGTTAACAGCCACGTCTCCATGACCCACTTTGTTTAGGATTGCTTCCTTGCCTTTTACACTGAAATCAGCGTTCTTTTGAGGCTGCAATGCTGCCCTGCTGGCTCCAGTGAGGTGATACAGAAGCGGGGTTGTTTCTTTGTTTATCCTCTCACTGGCTACATCCCCCAAGGGCTGCCTTTTCCCTCTCTTTGCCTGCTCCTCTTTCTTAGGGTGGTTGGGCTGTTCGTTGCTTATCAGTGAAGTGACCTCCTTCATTGGCGTGGTTGAATGTGGTGAGCAGTTTCTGTCAGGTCCACAGTAGAATATTGGGTTGTTGGCAGTGTGGCGGCCAATCTCTCGACTCTGCATCATGTCGATTTCTTCCAAGGCATCAAAGCTTCGAGAAGACTGCGTTGAGATGAGGGATAGCCTGCGATTCTCCTGATCCTGACTCCTGGAGGACAGGTCCTTGCCATGGGAGGTGAAAACCTCTCTCTCATCTGAAATCATACCACTGGAAGTGCGAGAGCTCTCTTGGAGAGGTCTAAACAAATTATCCATTGTGCTGTGGCATCTTTCTTTCTCTCTGAGCTGGTGTGTCTCAAACACAGAGGAGCTCTCACTCCCAGCCTCAGACCCACACACAGACGCAGAATGTGTCCTCACACCACTTTCAGATGGCTTACACACTCCTGTGACGAAATAGAACTGACCCTTGTGTTGGATGCTGCTGTTGATAAAACTCTGACCCGCATTCCAGGGACTGGCAGCTCGGGTCGGCTCTGAACCAAGCCAATCGTGAGCAGAGTGCGCCCTTTTGCGCTGACTCTCAAAATGGCTACTGCTACCACTGGGCTTGCTGTGATGGTCTCCATTGCATGCATCACTGTTTGAAAGATGTCTGGGTTTCAGGTGCTCAGACTGGCTTGTGCCTCGGGGAGGTGATCGGCTTAGGATGTTTGTTGACTTCTCCTGCTCGGAAGCAGCTTTGTTATCTGTGATGAAAAGGTATTCTGGGTTCAACGGCACCCTGGTCTGATCATGAGGCTGGAGGTGGGGGCGGTAGCTTGGTGGCTGCTGGGCCTGCTGCTGCTGCTGTTGAGGGCCCCTCCAAACTGAGTACACTGGTTCAGAATTGAAGCTCGAGTTGCCTGTATCTGGGTTAGCCGTCTCAGGTCTTGGGGCATTCAGACCTTGGGACTGTGGATGGAGTCGATTGTGAGGTCTGGGCTGTTGCTGAGGTTGTGGTTGCTGGGGTTGAAACTCAGTACCGTGGCGGTGGACCCTGCTGTTCTCCAAGTTTTTTGTGGCTATGAAACTATCCAGGCGTGCTGGGACTGGAGGAGGACGGACAGGAGGGTAAGCACCTTGGGATGGAGCCCCCAAAGGCACCTCTTTTTTTGAGAGTGCTTTGTTGTTAGTATGGAAACTGTCATTGCCATTGTGGTTGTGGTGGTTTACATTGATGCTGGTATTGTTGCGGTATTGCTGTGAGATAGCTTCCACAGAGCGATAGAGCTGGTCCATGGTCTTTGGGTCAGACTGCAGAACCTGGGTCGGATGGTAAATGGACTTTACATACTTAAGATCAGCATAGTGGCTGAAGGAACTGGACTGTAGGTCGTCTGGTAGAAAAGGAGAGGGATAGTCTGGGGCAGTGGACCCGCCAGAGAAGGAGCTGTAGGCAGAGTCTCCCTTGCCGTGTTGGTGATGGGCAAGTTGGTCGGCGATGCTGCTGTTGGACTTGGCTGGGGAGAGCCGGCTGACAGGCAGGCTCAGAGGATGTAGGTCCACGTTGCTCATTCTCTCAAAGTGGAAGTTGTAGGAATCCATGGAGGACTGGGGCAGATGGCAGGAAGGGAAGGGCAGGGTTTGTAAATGTGTGGTACTTGTATGTGCACTGATGCATGTGTCTTCCTTGCGGGTGAAACTGGGGAAATTACCACCAACACATTAGCACCAAGTTGTCCGTCACGCTTTTCTGTAATTAGGTCATTTTCCTGCCTCCTTTTTGTTTATTCAAAGCCTCTTGAAACGGTCTGTTCAGTAGCTCCTGGGAGAGAAAATATAAACACAGCACAGACTGGTTATTAGCTTAAAATCTTGACTTAGGACTCGTGCTCCAGTTATACATCTGTGGCAAATGACTGCTCAAGAATAAAATGGTTAGGCGAAATGTGTGTTCAAACGGAAATTACAAACAAGAACCTGACTGACAGATACTTAAAATATCATGTGGGGTAGTCTACCCAAACATCCCACTGTATTGCTTTTTCAACTGCTTTGCAACGGCATGAAAATTTAACACAAACACAGTTTGTTGACTTGGCATGTCCACTAAGTTATGGGCACACACAGCTCACACCACCATATCAAAGAAAAACACCTCCACACCTTATCTATGCTGTATTACTGGAAGAAATTCTACATAAGCTATGTGTTTGTGAAAATGTCTGTGGAAAAACATTTGCTATTTTTTTCAGAGTGCTTTCTGCTAAAACCCTATTAAGATGCCAGAAAACCATAAGTCACCACTGATAAATCTTTGCCTGGCATTTCTAGGTCAAATTCCTCTTGCGAGAAATCTTGCTCCATCTGTTATAGGCTAAGTGGTAAAGACTAAATAATATACCTCTTCAAAGAAAATATTTTCATTTTTCTTTCTCTAGTAGAGAACTGTTTATGTCTCCCCAGCAGAGTGGAGGTGCTAGAACATGGCAGCACAGAGGGGGGAATCCATTAAATGTCCTAATTATGACTCCAAATGTACTTTAACTCCTGTTGTTTTAATCTTTTCCCCCTTGTAAAGCACTTTGCCACTTTGTTTTTGAAAGGTTCTGTATAAAGTTGATCATATCATCATTATTAGTATTATTCATTAATTGGTCCAAACAGTGTAAAAACCTAAAGACAGAGAAAAGCAGCAGGTGCTCACACAAAAGAAGCTGAGAACAGAGAATATTACTTACATTAAAATGACTGAAAGAATAATTTCCTGTCGATCGTTTAATCAACTTATCGTTGCAGCTCTAGTCAAAATAGCAACTTAAGGAAGGTTACAGAATTCAAAGTATATTCCCTTATACAGCAGTAACTATTTCTGCATGGCTTAATCATAATCATTAGATCTCATTTAACTGAAAATGACCTCCTCTTATATTTTAGGAATGATTCTAACAGCATTTTGTGCACAAGACATACAGTCACTTTAATGTTTCACAGCTCATACAGTTTACTGCAGCTCGGTTTTGTAGGTCAGTACAGTTAACCACCTGTTGAAGGAGTCGGTGTACCGTTTGGCATCAACGAGGCCTCTAATTAAGGGCCCTGAGGTTGGTGGTGCACGTTGCAGCACACACATGAAAAAATGTCAGGAATTCCATATAGAACTACAGAAATCTGGGAGGATTAGTCATGTGACAGATATATAATGCCTTGTTATACAGCACTGTGACCCGTAAAGACGTTTACTTTTCTACTCTTATTATTCTCGAAACATGGAAGCAAACTTTACAGGATCTTTGCTGTGATAGAAGCTGTAATGTTTTGCAGATTGCACTGGTTATACTACCCTTTGCTGTAAAAACAATTTATTTCCAAATGACACACATTAAAGCAAAATTCAACCCATAAAAATACTTGAATCTGCTGCAGCGGTTAGACTTTACAGGCCATTCCTTTTGACTGGGACAGAAACCAATTAACTTCACTAGTCTATGGTGGGTTTCTTTAAACTCCTTTAGTGCAATACGTTTTGCTATTCACAATAAAAAAGACACAGAATTTAATAACTTTAGTTTTGTAACTTATGGAAACTTGCTATCATCATCAGCTATCCAAAAGAAATCCTCTTCAGTACAGAAACCACCAAGTTAATGATAGGTTCAGGTTTTATTATGAACTCTAATGATAGAGTAGATGTTGGCCTTCTTTCTCCCATGACCTGCATGCCTTCCCATGACTTTGTCATCAACTTGAAGCTACATACCTGTCATGCATACACAAAAGTAAACGTTGCTAATAAAACAAAGACAGGCCAATCAGTTAATCGGCTCTGACACTGCAGTATGAAGCTTGGGCCTCACCATTGATGGAAGTGCAAGAACTGTTGTGCACATTATGAATCAGCTGATGTTGTTATCCTAACCAACAAATATAAAAATGCATTAAATTACCACTTAGTCATTTAGACAGACAACTTAAAACTTCTTTCTAATTAATTCCAATGAGCAACATTTTCACAGTATTGCCACGTTTTTTGGCTGAGCTGAAAAACCTGAATCAAAGATGATCCTTGGTGGTCGTTTTGCATGCACACAAAACCCACCTCCCAAGAGCCTTTCAAACTACAGTATTAAGGGGGATTCCATGTGTTTATGAAGGGCCTTCTGATCTGTGGTGTGTCTGTGTGGGTGTCTGTGAGGGTGTGTTGGTGTGTGTGTGTGTGTGTGGTTTCCAGCCCTCCTCTCTTCTCTGCGAACAGAGAGGCTCCCAAACAGGGGAGCGCTCAAGTGGAAGTGATGGAGGGGACAGGCAGTGACAAAATGTACAGAGAGGAGAGAGGGAGAGAGGGAGGGAGGGTGAGGCAGAGGGTGACCGGCCCAGACAAATACCCTCACACGCAAACCACAACAAGAAGAGACAAGAGAACTGAACAATGACAGCAGGAAACCTGAACACAAGATGGAAGGCTGGATCAACAGTCACACACAAGGCAGGCTGGGAACTACTCAAGAGATCAACTACTCGTAGGATGGTTTGAATCAAAGTTTAACAACTTAAGAGAGCACTGTTAGCAAGACAAAAATAGAGAAACTCACCCAAACTTTGAGTCTAAGTCGCTGACCTTCCTGATTTCTATCTGAAAAAGAAATATGTTTCCTAAGTTTCAGCTTAAATAAGGATTTGCTGAATGATTCCCGTCCTTGTTTCTCATTCAGAACATCTTTCTTCCTCTAAAGAGGGACCAGAGCAAGTAACCAGGAGAGCTAGATATTAGAGGGAAGACTTCTAGCGAGTCCCTTCTCCCCCCACCGCGACCCGAGGCTGCCTAGTGGGAGCCACTGATTGGCCAGCCGATGACGTCCGGCTCTCCAATGCACAATGAGCGCAGCGGAGGGAATATTTCACTGCCGCAGATAGCTGCTAGTGCTGCCGGCCGCTTGAACAACAGAGAGAGAGGGGAGAAGAAAAAAAAAAAAAAA